GTGGTTGTAAATAATCGAATCTGGACCAGACAGTCCAGTGACTGACAGCATGAACAACTGTCTACTCAACTGAGATAATGTGTCATGCGGACCTTGTTACTGTGACATGAACACGTGCACCTAATAATACAACTAGTGTGTGATAAGCAACATAATGCCTTGTCTTATGACATTTTTATTGGAGTTATAAATCATATTTTACAGGAAAGGGGCGTGAGTGACGTATTGACAGGCCATACTTTCAGAAAGGGGGGAGCTAGTTGGGTGTTTGAAATAGGGTTTACCGGGCGGCAGATCCAAGATGTTAGATTCAGGAGGAGTAATGTATATCGTCGTTATATTCAAATGGGTAGCAAACGCAAGCTATTGGCAATGGAAGCAATTGGAGCTTCTCTACCGAAGGATTAGATTCCTGTTAATATTCGGTGTATGGTACCTTTTATAGATGGGCTTCTTTCCTATGGTATGTTATCATATTACTATGGGTGTGTAATCATATTCAAATGGGTATGAAAGAGGCGACTAATGGGATCGGGTGGTCAGGCTCGCTGACTTTGTTCGTTGTCGTTGAATAAGCCCTGGGATGTTCATAGATTTCAATATTTGTTCGTGAATCTTGTTTCGCAGTACATTAACACGGGCTTTGGTCTTACACAATGTGTGATACAGCTGTATGTTTATTAAACCGATGATCTCTTCAACGGGTGATCTGGCAAGTAATAAAGATCAGTACGCACTCATGAGGTCAACCTTTGCGAGGAAACTGCCTGGGGTGATCAACTTTTAGTGTCCCTCAAGTCCGCAAGACATCATCTGCAACACAGAAATCAACTTAGCCAGAGCTCCTGCACATTCTTCCACTGAACTGTACACAATCAGTCTCTATGTGGGCTACAAACCCTCACTTTATACCGCACTTTCGTTAGGCAACACGCTGCCGAACTGAAGGTTTGAAATATCTCAGGGCTCTTTGCTGCAGCAAAAGGTAGCTTTTTATGCTACAAGTATAGGTAGTACAGCACAACACTGATCATGGTTACTTGGGTGCAGTCGTATTGATCTGAACCACCCTAGAAATCAACCTTTGCGAGGAAACTACCTGGGTGATCCACTTTTTACCGTCCTTTAAGTCCAAGTATGAGCACTGACTCTTTACCATGTAATGATTCATATCTTTTCCCATATCTCCCCATACGTATTTCTATGCAAGGTGACTGACATCTAGCATGTATTTCAGACAGTCAAGTATCCCAGATATATCCCCTCCTTTGTCAGTAATCATCTTTCAAGACGCCTACACTGGCGTAGGTCCACATCTCTGACGTGAAGTTATCACCGCCCCCTTTTGAACTACAAAGGTCAAGTTTATACCATCCCCGGAATCGAGAAACTTCGCCTCCAGGTCTTGTGCTAACGATTCTATCCACTCATAATTTTCAGCTTTCTAACGTTTGCCTTACCTTGGATAGCACAAATCTTTTCTTGGTAAGGCAATTTGGACAGCGATTTTCCCGGGAGGCTACTGGCTACTAATCATCATCAATCGCAGTCTTCCTCAACGCATCCATGACATCTTAGAGTCCTTTTCATATTCCGCGGCCACATTGTTTGTTTGTTGTTTAACACCCCACCAGCATTATTCCAGCTTTTTGACGGCGGTCTAGAAATAATCGAGTCTGGATCAGACAATCCAGTGATTGACATCATGAGCATCGATCCAATTGAGATACGATGACATGCATCAACCAAGTCACCGAGCCTGACCACCCGATCCCGTTAGTCGCCTCTTACGACTAGCATAGTTGTCTTTGACGGCAAGCATGGGTTCCTGAAGACCTATTCCAAAAAAAACGGATATTGAGTGAGTGAGTATGGTTTTGCACTGCTTTTTGTAATATTCCATCAATATCACGGCGGGGGACACCAGAAATGATTTTTGTTCATTTGTTGTTTAACGCCGCACTCAGCAATATTCCAGCTATACGACGGCTGTCTGTAAATAAGCGTCACACGTGACGAGCGAACGCTTTTACCACTAGACTACCCTACAGCCCTTAAACAGAAAAAAACCTAAGGGTCATGAGCAGCAACCAAGCTCAATATGCAATATTATGGTCTAAGGGGGACAACTCCTCCCTGTGTTACAATACATTCTCTCGAAAAATACACCTTGTATCAGTTCACGTTTGATTGAAATAACAAAAGAAATTGCACAGATTATTTTAAATAAATGCCTAATGGTCAAACTGTCAAACTCTTGCATACTGGAGTGGTGGCTTGATTGTACAGATCTGAAGAGAGTCGTACAAAGCTGCTTCTAATGAGATACAAGTACATACCTGCACATACCAGATCACGTGATCTACCTCACGTGATCTACCGCACATGACAAGAGGTGGGCGGTTGCAGTTATTTCAGGAACCAGAAAGAGAGGCGACTTCAGGGAAGAGAGCTCCACGTTGTAACAGCGGTATGTCACATGTTTAGACGCCATTGCACATACACATATAAATTTTACATTATGTGACAGTACGTTGTGTTACCTATGTTTTAATCTGTACACGTCAGGGCAGAGGTTAGACTTTAACACAGAAAGTAGACTTGACATTGACATATCCAGCAGGAGGCAACCATGATTACATCCATATAGTTTTGTAGGATGTCAGTCAGCAGCTGAATCGTCATCGCTGGTGAAAGACAGTCAAGAGTATTACAATTATAAAAATCAATTAACATGGAGCTAGGCAGACAGATTATCGTCTGCCTTTAAACACAAGCAGTTACAAGTTATAACGAAAGTGGAAATGAGCTTAAACGTCCATCCATTTAGTTCTGTAGGATGTCAGTCAGCAGCTGCATCGTCATCGCTGGTGACAGGCTACACACTCAAGAATACTGTTATCAAAATCAATTAACACAGAGCTGGGCAGACAGATTTTGAACTGCACTTATCTGAGGTCATAGTACATAGAGGCTATCACACGAGTGTGTTTGTGGATGGTAAATATAATGCATTAGGAAATAAACATTGTATTTAGCTAGCCTTGGTGTCAAGTCCACAGAGATGAAAAGGTGAAGTTGTTCTGTAAGGACTGCAAGCAGGCAATATGCACGATATGCAGCAGTATAAGACACAGGGCATGTAAGGATGTTGTTACAATAGAGAGCACCACCCCTCTTGTGAAGGAACAACTGACAAGCAAAATAGAGCGGCTCAGAATCAACATTGCAGCTACGAATAATATCATAACCCAGATAAATTCTACAATTCAAGATGTGAAGAGTAATTCACAAACCCTCAAAGATCAAGTCACAAAGACACGGGAAACAGTGATGCGTGCTATTTTAAGAAAAGAGAAGCAACTCCTTGGAGACATCGAAAGATCGAGCTACAGATGTACCAGCAGCAGTATGAGTTCACAGCCAATGCTGTGACGTCCGACTGTGAGATGGACATGTATGCCGTCTATGAGTCGATGGGTGAGACGTCTCCAGACAACAGAGACACGGACAACAGGCCAGCAGCAGGAAGGGTTGTATTGACACACGACCTGGACAAGCTGAGTAAAGCAGTTGATGAGCTACAGCTGGGGCAGGTTGAAGTCGTCCATGATGTGTGTGACACCGAGTTTTCTCCTGTTCTACATCACACCATTGACTGCAATGTGTATGTGCAATGGCGTCTAAACATGTGACATACCGCTGTTACAACGTGGAGCTCTCTTCCCTGAAGTCGCCTCTCTTTCTGGTTCCTGAAATAACTGCAACCGCCCACCTCTTGTCATGTGCGGCAACCGTGAAACAGTGAAACAAACGGGTGTCTCCTAACTTCGTGGATACTGTCCAGTTTGTGGTATATTAACAAGGTTGCTCTGTCCTGTACATCCGTACATATCTCACCTTTGAAACACGTTGGCGGCACAGAATCCAGTGTGAACATCGCTTGTTCCATAGATGATGCAGTGATCGATCCCGTGGTCCATGTTGTGATATGAACAGTTGTACACAACACAATCCTGTACGCCATCGTTGTGTCCCCCGTTAAGGCGGACACAGAGATATAGGTGAAATCTGTCCACTTGCCTGTGAACCGATCAGAGCTCTCCATACTTCAACACTTTCCCCATAGTGCTGGGTGTTCTTCTTGATGTATATCTATACCACAAAGTTGATTTTTTTCAAATAAATTTCCTCTCTGTATTGTACTCTCAAACATCAATGATCACTAGTTTATCTGTACCAGAGTTATTTATATTTAAAGTCCGCCGTTAACTGCCGGGCTAAAGACAGTACACACACGTGTGAGGGTGGCTACAAAGAAAACAAACAAGGAATGATTATTCGATGATGATGTTTTTGATACGATAATCAAAGGCAATATCACACGCATCATATCAATGAGTATCTCACAGGTGACGTGCGCACGACGTCTCAAAGAACACGGGGCTCACAATTTCAAATCCATTTATCAAGTGTATACTTTCTTTTCCCATCGCCCATCGTCCATAGTCCATAACTTAATGGATTTAACACAACTTATAGTCTCAAAGACAAAATCATCGGACACGAGTTGTGAACAAATATAATTTGTTCCAGTTTATTCTAAGGGACGCAACTCTTCTCCTATCGTTGCGGGTTGTACCACGACAGATTGTATTCCGTATGATACAACTACGATATATTGCCATGTATAAATAACTACGGTGGCCCATAAGGGACATGGAGTCTGTTTTTCAATGGTTTGATATTTCACTTACTTTTATCGTAACCTTTTCCAAATTAACACAATTTGTGATACAAAAATATTCATACTCCATGTCCCTTATGGGCCACCATATATAACAGTTGTGCTTTTCATATGATATTGCAAATATACTCTGGTTCACTAGATAATATGAGAAACTATGTATGTCCATTTTAGCACGATGTATTCTGAGTGGTCACAAACACATGTGTAAACTATTATTAGGTTGTCAACGGACGTCAACGGATCACGTGGTTTAAGTTATGTCACGTGACACGAGGCAGCAACCAGGACGTGAGACGCCTTCAGAGAGAAGACGCGCTCATCGTAATATCGGTATGTCACGTAGTTAGATAACATTTCATCCACAAATATAGATTTTACATTCGCTAACAGTACATTGCTGCGTTACCTGTGTTATAATGTAAACCTGCAAGCACCTCGGTTTCAGCTGAACACAGAAAGCTTTATATCGATGTAGATCTATGCGACAGGAGTCAACAATGATTAAATCCATATATTTCTGTATCACGTCAGTTAGCAGCTGAATCTACATCGCGGATTAAGGATAAGATTTACTGTTATCAAATGTACTGTTATCAACATAAACTAACACCAGCTAGGGAGACAAGGTTTTGCCTACATTTATCTGAGGTCATAGTGACCCGTTAAAACGAAAGTAGAAATGAGGTCAAGGTCAAGGTCCCCTTGAACAACATCCACAACATCCACACAATGTCGCGTGTATAATATATCCTCATGTCTATGTGTATACAGGAGTGCGGTGGATCAATAGCAAGTACGTGTGTGAGTGAGTAAGCGAGGGAGTGAGTGAGGAAACAAACAATATTGAAATAGTAGAAAAATACATACATACAATACATACATGCGGAATTGACCAGTGTTTGTGACACATGTTGAGGAGTTAAGTGAAGACAATTCGATGATCATGTTTTCACGTGGATTTTACAAAATAAATACATTCCATACAAAATAGTCCAAACACTGCTAGAGTGGCAAGTGACCTTGAAAGACAAAGAATCAACCGCCACTTGATGTCTTACAATATTCAGATCAATGCGGGGGCACAGGTGGCCTAGTCGTCTGAGGCGCCGCGAATCGCTGAGGTCCCTTGGGCACGCCAGAAACCTATGATTGTGGGTTCGAATCCCGGTTTGCTGCGATTATGTTTCTAGGTTTGTCAGCACCATACCCGTGCTCGTGGGTTTCACCGAAGTGGTAAACGTCTGAGACCTGCATCACTTCGGGCTTTCCTCTCACATTAAGCTGACACGCCACAATATAACTGGAATACTGTTAAAAGGGGCGTTAATCCCAACTCACTCACTCACTCACTCAGATCCATGCAACTCACATTTTGTTGGGAAACCTTCATTCCTTCACTTAACCTGTGATGTTTTTGTCAATGTCAGGATATAAATAATCCACATTTAGCAATGTTCAAGCCTGGCGATCTGTAAATAGTCATGTCTCGGCCTAGAATGAGCAATAATTCCGACACAAAGGGTTACACAAAGCTGACCAGGTCAAAGTTTGTGTGTTCACGTCATCCAATCCTCGATTTAGTTGCTTCTTACCAAGCACAGAATCATAGTGGTTAAATATGTTGTAGAACCTCCGTAGACAGAATACAAAATGAAAGATCTATCAAATGTTTATGGAAGTTCATATGAAAATGTATGTTATTAAATATGATAGTGAAATAAAGAGTCACTGTGCTATAACGAAATATTGAACTTATCCTCCACTGACCCTACTATGACAAAGAGTGTGACACTATTGATATTTCACTAACATAAAACATGCCTTTGTGTTTGTGGAAATTGGTCCATAACAGAAACGACAGTTGATCATGTTTTCAAAACATGGTATTCATTCCTCATGTTCATTGCTCAGGGTAGAGTATGACAACAAGAGTTACCCCCCTTTACCCACAGACAGCACCACAGATATACAATGCAGTGGGTCGTCTCCTTTTCTCTCCCGTCTCACTGCTTGTAAAGATGTTATGTCTTTGGACGTCAGGGTTAATGCGATCATGTACATGTTTTATGATTATGTCTACAACACATCCATCTATACTTCCTTTAGCTGTCCGATTTGCTTCAGATGGCGACCGCTAAGAAGCTAACAGAAAACCACCTCACCTGCGTCATCTGTACAGAGGTGTTCACAGACCCTGCCACACTTCAGTGTCATCATACATTCTGTAAGTCTTGTCTGCTGAAATACACCTACACACAGCCGGAAGCAGTACAAGCCAAGTCCATACCATGTCCCTCCTGTAGACAACAGACGAATGTGACCAACCCTGACAGACCAGTAGAGGAGTGGGTCAGTCAGCTGAAACCAAGCCACGTCATGCAGGGGCTGATGGACGACTTTGGTCCCGGCACAAAGGGTAATCAGCTTATTATTGTACTGCCTGACTAATATACCTTGGTTTGAGATAAATAAACACACTCTTGCGCGGACATAAACGAGAATTTGCTCATAGAATTGCTTATTATGACTTCAGGTCCATAGATTTAATGCAGGGTAAGTATCTCACAAAGACAAACAAATTACAGCCTGACCCACCGATGAAATCTAATGTAACTCAAACATATAGTGCTATAACTAAATATAATTACATACAATGATTTCACCTACCCCTTGGTACTCGTCACTCCTTGTAAATGTTGTTTACAAGCTAGTAAATAATTGTTATGATTTTTATATGTGGAGTTGATCTTAGTTGCGCGTATATCAGAAGCACAATAAGGTTTTGTCAATAATTTTCTGGGACAATTTATTTTTTTCAATAAAATCCAAGGTGTTGAGGCGGATAACTATTTCAAAGTGTTCAAAACAAATACCAAGACAAAAGAGCACATTCTTGGTCTAATGGATATTAGATCGGTTCTGTTGAAAACCAGAATGGACATTGTCACGTTGTCGTATTGTCGTCCTAAAAAAAACAAGCAAAAGTGTCAAAATTACCAAAAGCGCGACAATGCCACATCGCCACATTTTGACCATTTGTCGTCACCCATTGAATACTGTTTTACCAAAGGGTGACAATGCAACATCACGACATTTTTCAAGGTGAAAGTATGTCGGATTGTCGCATCGTAGCCCCATCAAAAATATGTAAAAAAGGTGTTAATTGAATTAATCCCATGCGCCGGAAAGGTTATACTTCTTTTCAAACTCTGGTGGTCTTTTGTTAGCTCCATTGGTTCTAAAACCAAAGGAGCAATGGTATATGTGGGTTGTTTCTCGAAACTAAAACAGAAGTTAGCTCATATATCGTTATTGTCTGTGTCGGATTTCATAAACCAAACGTGTTATAACAGCAAGAAACAAACACTTTGCGTTTCTATTTAATATAAATCTGGTCTCTGACATCTTTTCAAATCGATGAGGACACATCGTTGGCCCTGTCATTAAGACGGTGCAATTCGCAGAGCTGACCCTCCACTGTGACAAAGCACCTGTAACGTTAACATTTATAAACATCTTATTGTTGACTCTCCTGTCATTTTGGACTCCCAACTTAAATGGAGCTATACACCCGTTCTGGTTATGATAAACACTAGCTCAGATACTGACCAGGGATTCCTACAGCAAAATAGTATCTAATTACAACCTGTGTTATGTGATATATTCACCTACATAATGGGCGTGTACCTTTATGACAAAAGTAACGTCTTTAATGTTATTATATCCCTAGATAATGTCCGATTCTTATCATGTTTTATGACAAATGAAACAAAGAACACTTGTCTTTTTAGCTGTGGAGGAACATGTGTGCAGTGTTTGTACAAAACAAGGAAAGACAACTCCTGCCACTTCTTGGTGCTCTGTCTGCGATGTTGTGTTCTGTGAAGGATGTCTCCAGATGCACAACATGATGCCAGGGTTGTGTGACCATGAAGTAGCTCACTTGTCTGATCACACCAAGACAAAGGTCAAGCGTTGCTTCATGTGTCAAGTCCACAGAGATGAAAAGGTGAAGTTGTTCTGTAAAGACTGCAAGCAGGCAATATGCACGATATGCTGCAGTATAAGACACAGGACGTGTAAGGATGTTGATACAATTGAGAGTATGACCCCTCTTGTGAAGGAACAACTGACAAACAAAATAGAGCAGCTCAGAATCAACATGGCGGCTACGAATAATAACATAACCTGGAGAAAATCTACAATTCAAGATGTGAAGAGTAATTCACAAACCCTCAAAGTTCAAGTCACAAAGACACGGGAAAAAGTGATGCGTGCTATTTTAAGAAAGGAGAAACAACTCCTTGGTGACATCGATAAAGCTACTGATGAACAATTAAGTGAGTTACAAGCAGATATAAAATCCCAGGAGATCGAGCTACAGATGTACCAGCAGCAGTATGAGTTCACAGCCAATGCTGTGACGTCCAACTGTGAGATGGACATGTATGCCATCTATGATTCGGTGGGTTTGACGTCTTCAGACAACAGAGACACGGACATCAGACCAGCAGCAGGAAGGGTTGTATTCACACACGACCTGGACAAGCTGAGTAAAGCAGTTGATGAGCTACAGCTGGGGGAGGTTCAAGTCGTCCATGGAGTGAGTGACCCCGAGTCTTATCCTGTTCTACATCACACCATTGACTGCAAGGAAGATGGGGACGGGGAGGATCCTTCGGTGCGTGACGTCACAGTGTTGACTGTTGATGGCATCAAAGTAACGGTAGTTGCAGGTTACAATAACAAGAGACTCAAAACATATTACACATCAAACTTCAAATCCTTTCATAATCAGCTCCTGCTTTCTAATTATCCTTGGCAAATAGCCAAGTTAAGTGAAAGTCAGATAGCTGTCAGTGTTCCAGGCAGTGAGGAAATAGTTACAGTAAATGTTACCCCAGATCCTGTATTACTGTCGACTATCAAAACAAGCAAGGTGTACTACGCTCTAGCCTCTCTGAGTCCTTCACAGCTGGCGGCAGGTACATGGAGACAGTCTCACTCTGTGGACATACTGGACATGACAGGGAGGATACTGAGGTCTATCAACACGGGGGTGACAGGGAATCCAGACCACATCCACGTCACCAGGAACAACAACTTGGTAGTCAGTGAAGGGAAAGTAAAATCTCTTGTATGTGTGACCAGTGATGGAGACGCTGTTTTCACCTACACTCCCACAGGAGACAGAGCTCTGTCATATCCTCGGGGTATCACAACAACCAGCACGAGAGATATCCTGCTTGTAGACTCTAGCGCCCACAAGGTGATTCAGCTGACAGAGTCGGGGCAGTTTGTCAGAGATGTCCTCACACAACAGGATGGTCTGGAATATCCTGATGGTGTCTGTCTTGATGCTGACGGCCTGCTGTATGTTACTTCCAGAAGATATGTAAACGTATTCAAATTTTGCGCCGCTTACAGGAATTTGTAAAACAAATGATCGTTTCCTCGTCAGCACTTAGGACATATGTGCAAATGAGAGTAGGGTTCCTTTTTCAGCTGTTCACAATGTTTCACATATAAAACATGGCATAAAAATCAAGACAAGTTCTGAACTTTGCTATTTATGATATATTTATTCCTTATAATTTTCGATTCCAAGGCAAAAAATTGGACTTCGTTCAGATGTAATTTTAACACATAACTCATAAACGATTCAATATTTTCACAAAGCGTTGTTTGTACATGAGGCAACTGCTGGAATGGCGCCTTTTGTTATTCCGGAAACTACAGAGTGGTGTTATGTACATACGAAACTACAGAGTGGTGTTGTGTATATATGAAACTACAGAGTGGCGTTGTGTATATATGAAACTAAAGAGTGGTGTTGTGTATATATGAAACTACAGAGTGGTTTTGTGTATATATGAAACTACAGAGTGGTGTTATGTATATATGAAACTAAAGAGTGGTGTTGTGTATATATGAAACTACAGAGTGGTGTTGTGTATATATGAAACTATAGCGTGGTGTTGTGTATATATGAAACTAAAGAGTGGTGTTGTGTATATATGAAACTACAGAGTGGTGTTGTGTATATATGAAACTATAGTGTGGTGTTATGTATATATGAAACTAAAGAGTGGTGTTGTGTATATATGAAACTAAAGTGTGGTGGTGTATATATATGAAACTAAAGTGGTTTTGTGTAGATATGAAACTATAGTGTAGTGTTGTGTACATATGAAACTATAGTGTGGTCTTGTGTATATATGAAACTACAGAGTGGTGTTGTGTATATATGAAACTACAGAGTGGTGTTGTGTATATGTGAAACTACAGAGTGTGGTGTATATAGGACACTACACAGTGGTGTTGTGTATATATGAAACTACAGAGTGGTGTTGTGTATATATGAAACTACAGAGTGGTGTTGTGTATATATGAAACTACAGAGTTGTGTTGTGTATATATGGAACTAAAGTGTGGTGGTGTGTATATATGAAACTACAGAGTGGTGTTGTGTAGATATGAAACTATAGTGTAGTGTTGTGTACATATGAAACTATGGTGTGGTCTTCTGTATATATGAAACTACAGAGTGGCGTTGTGTATATATCACAGAAGACTAATTTTATTTACAAGAACAATTAACAATTTACAATATACTTAGATAATAACTGAGGGTGCCACAGAGAGTCGGTACACACTCTGGGCTGTGGGAGAGAGGTCTGCTTGGTAAGAGAGTCAAACCCCTTCTCTGACTAAACTTGGCTACAGTATGTATTTAACAAAAAATTGAACAATAAAAAGGAATGTGATTGGTTGATATATGATTGGTTGTGTCCTATGCTAAATGGATGGCTAGACAGAGGGGAATACTAAACCCAGTTCCATGATAATTCATAAAAGCACTTGATGTAGATCTAATTATTATAAGATAACTTTAGAATAAATGTTAACCATGATATATATATGAAACTATAGAGTGGTGTTGTGCACACATAAAACTATATACTGACATTTTGTATATACGTGAAACTATATAGCGACATTTTGTATATACGTGAAACTATAAAGTGACATTTTGTATATACGTGAAACTATATAGTGACATTTTGTATATACGTGAAGCTATTTCGTGACGTTTTGTATATACGTGAAACTATATAGTGACATGTTGTATATACGTGAAGCTATATAGTGACATTTTGTATATACGTAAAACTATATTGTGACATTTTGTATATATGGAAACTTTATTGTGACAATTTTTATATATGTGAAACTATATAGTGACATTTTGTATATACGTGAAACTATATAGTGACATTTTGTATATGCATGAAACTACATATGGCCTATGTGTATACCTGAAGCTACATATGCCTTTTTATCTATACACGAAGCCATAGTGTCCTTTTGTGAGTAGAAATTAAACTCATTCACTTCACCTTTACTTCCCACTGA